TATGGCGTGCGCTGAGGCATCGTTGGCCGGCAGACGACTGAGATCGGTGCCGGCTCCCCCGCGCGGCCCGGCGATGGTGCCCGATAACGGTGTTTTCGCGTCATTTGCCCGAGGGAGGCCATCACTGCGACCGGAAGTGTATACAGTTACTGTACACCCTGCTAGAAAATGCGTGATATTGATAAAGCGCAACTGAACAGGATGTGGATCAACGCTTTAATTTGGTAGATAAAAAAACTAATGACCATAACAGCTTCACATGGACAGAGGTTAAGTTTCTGTGAGCATTAAATAAATGGCAGCATTAGTCTTAAAGGAAAAGGGCACTTCGTGAAATATGAAGATATCGTTGTTTTTCATTTTGACATTATTATTTTTCATTTTCTTTTTAAACTGGTGCCAGAAGGCACAATTCGCGAAAAAACGTATTTAAAACTATTTAACTATTGGTACTATGTTGATACTCTCTACGGCACAACTGTATGATGGCATAGCGATGACGTCACACTCAAGCCAATCAGCGTTCAGAAGACAGACTCGTCGGATTGTGTCAGATAAGCTGATTGGTTAAAGCTGAGCTGGTTGGAGCTGATTGGTAAAAAACCAAAGCCTCGCCGCGGGTGGCTGTATTGTCGGATAAGAACGCATTCCTTGGATAAGAACGCATTCCTGGCGTATTTTCTTTTAAAATTGCCGATATCTACGAATGAAGGCCGAAATCGGCCCGTAAGGAGGTAGACAGATAGGTTTTCGGACACGGGCTACAAGATGGCTATCTCAGTTTCAATCCCCATGTTAAAGGTGGCCCTTTTCCTTTAATTGTGTGAAATATTGGCGCTGTATAACTTTGGTCTGGTATTGGTATTAGTATAACTGTATGACCTTGGTGATCCTCTTTTTAATAATGGCGACGGAAAGAAGACCAGTAGGTATCCGTTGCACCAGACGAGTCGCTCACGCCGGAGCGCCGCGAGCCGTGGCGGTGGATGGATGCGAGGGATGCTGTGCCGCATCACACGCGTGTACGCCGGGTCAGTCTACCTAGCCAGTCGCGCCGGCTTTACAGCCGCCACGGCCTGGCCAGGCTGCGCTGCGCGTGAGGCTTTGATAGGTACTATTTCTACCAGTTGAATGTGGGAAATTATAAAGCACCGGTTTGTTCTCAACTAAACCAGCACGAAACACGAATGAAAATTATTTATGCCATCCCCAAGTCATTGTTTCGCTTAGAACCCCACCACTCAGCGTCGTCCGTCGCCAGTGCCATTGCGGCGTATCCCGCTGGCCAAGACGCCCCGGAGCGGCTGTGACCGTCGTTGGCAGACATTTTATCGGCGGGCTGCCTCAGCAGCAATGTGTCGCTCTCAATGACACCTAACAGAGGCTCGGTGCCCGACTATGGCGGCCGGCGGACCGGACTGAAGGCTGCGCCGAGCCGTGAACACTGGCGCTGTCGGACACGGACGCACTATCGGACGTAGCTCGCAGCCAGCAGCGCATATTCTATGGCGTATTTACGAGTGCGATGGCCAATTACGATCATCATCACACGCTTATTGTACAATGAATATTCCCACGAATTCTTTTTTTTTTTTGTCATGCTTTTTAACGACTTGCTGCAGCGACGCACGTGTAGCCTGAGTAATTCGTTTTCCTTATCTGGCCTCTCACAATACTCAGTTAGTAGATCCGTTAGCAGAGACACTGACTAACCACCGCCCCCTGTTCCGTTTCAGCTGGAAAGGTCGTCGGACTCGGAGGTGACGGTGCGGGTCAGCTCGGACCGCGCCGCCGGCACCTACAAATGTGAGGTCTCCGGAGAGGGCCCCGAGTTCTGGACCAGCTTCGCCGAACGCAACGTCTCCGTAGTCAGTAAGTTGGACCGCTGACAACCGGGCGAGGCTGATTCGTTTGGAGATGGTGCTGCTTCTCAGTAATCGTTCTGGTGATGGAACTCCTTGTTGGCTCTGAAATAACCTAAAGATTTGAAGAATAATGAGACCATAAGCTCACCAGTGTGTGAAACCATTTTCGTTAAACACGTCAGCCTACGTTGTGCTATTTCTCATGAAAATTACACCAGCACTTATAACCTTGAGTATCCTATCAGATCGTCCGGTCGAGCAGCCGACTCCGCCAAACAATCGCCGTCAAATCTCTCTGTCACCTCGCCTTCAATCGATTCCTTTCCTCGTCATTAAGCAGGGATGGTTGTATTTGAAGACCCTACGCCGGCCCAAAAGGCCACGATTGTGAGGTTCTAGGTCTCATCGCATTGCGCCTGCATTCGGACGACGATTTCGCCGAGGCGGGCTCCGAATGCAAATCACCTGATTATCATTCACTTATGCGAATTCGAATGACATCGGCTGCGTCTTCCCGGGAGCGGAAAATTGACAACGAAAATATTCGACGCTACAGCTGTGCCTCAAAATTGCCGCGGGTTAATCGCCGGGAAATTATGCCCCCATTATGCCTCGGCCGAAGTCATAAAGGCGGCATATCCGTTGCCAGCTTTAAATCTCGCGGACCCGTTTCGAATTGGATGGCGAGGATTATCATAAAACGGCCGTGGCCGCAGTGTTGGTGGGATATATCGTGATTAGAATGTCGGTTTCGGTGGCGGTTGGAACACGTCTCTGTGCTCAGTGACCGGTGGCGACCGTTTGCAGCCGACTGAGCGAGCCCAGCCGCGGCGGCAAACTGTCCAGGCAGACACCATTCCACAGCGACAGATAACGATTATAGCCGAGGTGTTTTGCAACACTGATGAGCGTAACATTATTTTCATGTTTACTTTTTGGTAATATTTTCTTTTTTTTAAACTTGAAAATAGTTAAAACAATTTGATAATGTTTTTTTGCAGAAATTTGATATTTAATGAGTTGACACAGACAGATCAAATAACTTTTCATTTTGAACTAAGCCCGTGCGCGTCGTATCGGCTTATTCAGCTACTCAGTTGCAGTCCCGTCGATTATTACATTAAATGTGAGCACTGAGCTATGCTCAGTTAATGAGAACGGTGTCAATAACACGCCATGGTGATCATATTAGGAGCGCCTATCATGTATTTCCCCTTCCCAATTTTGCTTAGATCAATCATTTTACGGCGGGAACTCCCACGGGCGTCCTCTCAATCTCTCATAACGGCATTACCTTGGCGTCTCCTTCTGTATCGTCCCCTGAGACGGGCGGGAGGACTGAGTGGTGTGGTCCGAGGGTCGAGCAGAGGGCGGTGATGGGGTCAGGACCTCTGCTCTGTGATTACTAGGCACTCTGTCTGTCTGTCTGTCTGTCTGTCTGTCTCGTCTCTCTCTCTCTTTCTCTCTCTCTCTCTCTCTCTCTCTCTCTCTCTCTCTCTCTCTCTCTCTCTCTCTCTCTCTCTCTCTCTCTCTCTCTCTCTCTCTCTCTCTCTCTCTCTCACTCTATCTGTATCTGTCTCTGTCTCTGTCTCTCTCTCTCCCTCTTTCTGTCTCTCTCTCAGTGTCTCTCTCTCTGTCTCTCTCTCTCTCTCTCTCTCTCTCTCTCTCTCTCTCTCTCTCTCTCTCTCTCTCTCTCTCTCTCTCTCTCTCTCTCCCTCCTCTCTCTCTCTCTCTCTCTCTCTCTCTCTCTCTCTCTCTCTCTCTCTCTCTCTCGTTTTCCCTCTCCAGTTTCTATCTCTTCTCCCCTATCATCGTCTCCCTCCGCTCCTCCGTCACCACAGCTGTCTCTGTCACTGTAAGGCTGATCGCCGATCATCTCCACTCTCTCTCCCTCCCTCTCTCCCTCTATATCTACCTCTCTCTATAACCGTCGCTGTCACTACCACGCCGTCGGGATAGGCGAGGGTTCGGCGCCCTCCGGACGGGGAGGAGACCGTCCCGACAAAGACAGAGCACCTTGCCCGATCTCCGTCCCCCTAGGGGACCCAGCTGCTCTATTTTACTGCCAGGGTCCGGACGGTGAATATTTCCTCAACTGCTCCCTACCAGAGACCAAGCACGGGCTTCTGTCTCTGTCTCAAAGCCGGAGAGACGTGCTCGTCTAGATCTCAGTCCGCTATCAAAAACGGTACATCCCAAATCACCCAACGCGCTGACCCCCGGCTGAGAACCCGGCCCCCTACGCGTCTTTGTCCACCTGTCGCCTCACTGATCCTCCTTTTTGCCCCCCCCCCTCCCCCTCCGCAGCGCTGCCAGACCGACAGCCGGAGATCTGGGGCCACCAGCACGTGTATCGCCCCGGCGATAATATCTCCGTCAACTGTACGTCACCCAATGCCCGGCCGGCCGTACACATCAACTGGTTCGTCAACGGCGAACAGGTGAGGATGAGAATTAGAGGGAGTTCTGAGTGAGACAGTGTCACAGTAGGGGTCACAGAATGAGATAGATAGTGCTCGCATAGGTATATTGTGTAGTTAATAGGAAAGTTTCTTAGAGAAAGGTGTCTGAGTATTACAGATATTGTGTGCTGCATTGGGAGAATACCTAAGTTATTTCTACCATTTTCGCTTCTAATTAAAGGGCGTATAAAATATGTGTTCCACATTTCGCATTTGGCTTATGCATCACAATAATTATTTTGCGCAAATTAAACCTCAGAACCTCATTCAATCTTCATCTATGTAGGTGTAGTTCCTTTGGATCTCGTTCTTTGTCCGGACTTCAGCTCCCTGTCATCCCCCCCCCCCCTCCGTCGGTGCGGCTCCCCTGTCGGCACAGGGGCCATCTTGGCTCGATTTTTTGCCCGCTGCGAGAGTACCACGCGGGTATTGATCGAGCTCGCGCGTCCTCGCGCTTCACTGTGCCCCGGCCGCCGCTCCCATGCGACTGCCAGTCGTGGGAAAACCAATCCCAACGAGGATCAGCTTAACCGCGCCTCAACTGACGCGCCGCGCCGCTTCTCGCCTCGCCGCGCCGTCTCTCGCCTCGCCGCGCCGCGCCGCGCCGCCGTCAGACATCGGCTCGTAGCACTACACGGATCGCCGCCTGTCACGACGGAGCCACGTTTGTTCTAATCGTGACGTTGACCAGTGTCAGGTGGAGCGCCTCTGCCGTTTTACGTGTCATCACCAGCCGTCGCGCGATGGATGGAGGCGAAACACGGCATGTGACGCGGATATAATCATTGATCGGCGATCGCGGTCAGCCCAGCGATCGGGAATCCTATGACGTGCGCAGTTTGATGGGATTAACTCGACGTTGGTTTGCAGTAACTGTTTGCTTGCAGCGCAGCGGATTAGAAATGTGTCACATGCGCTCTGCATATACCAATTCTGGATATCTATAGGGAAGTAATGAAGATGCACCACACCCGATAAGGTATTTTTAGTGTAACTGGATTGTCCAAACAAAAGTTTGAAAACCAAGCGTGCCAAGATATGACGTACCGTTGAAAAGTTAGTGGCGAAATGCTATCACGCTTTACCGGCACTACTACGGCATACTCGTGCGCTGGCGCTATATTTGGCTTAGTTAAGTTTTCCCATCACTATATCAGTTACCAGCACCTATTCAGGAGACCAGTTAATTGGTCAGCTACCACAGCATGTCTTGGCTATCATATAGAATTCAATCTTGGTGCTGTGGCCCATCTGAGTCTGACTGACTTTGACTAAGGGTAAGACTGTGACCTGAGTGGGGGCTAGTCATCGGGGGTCGCCCACTCTCTCCGCTCTGACTGTGTCGGTGTCAGTGTCAGGCCTGGGAGGCTTCGGTCGTGTCAGTGTCGGCGGTGTCAGTGTCACACCCGAGAGACAGCAGGCGTGTTCGCTGACACTGCTCTGACCTCGGCATCGCTCCGACGAGAACTGAGAGTGACAACCGACAACGGACGGGCAGACAGATGGAACAGCCAGAGAGATGAACAAACGGGCATAGACAGACGGACTAAACCCTGGTAGGGAGAGGGACAAACAGACAGACAGACAGAGGGACAGTTGGATAGACGGTCGGCCAGCCGGACGGAGCAGGTGTTTTCTGAGAGTTCAAACTGCATTCGGGTGATCGACCGATATGTTCCTTTTTCTTTTGAAGGGAGCTGTCACCTATACGGACTTACGGAGTCGAGCAGGATTTTTGTTTGAGACCATCCGATTTTGTGATGAACCTTTTCCTGCCTTTTGCCTTAGGAAATGTTGTGATGGATATTGATTTGGTCGCTCTCGGAGTATTTGCTTTCTACGGATCGATGACAGAACTGACAGATAACTTCCTGACAAGCTCGTATAGAGCTCCAAAAGCGTATTTATGTAAACTAAAAGACCCCAGCAATGAAGAAGTTCCGAATCACATCCCTTGAAGTATGAGCGATTCCCAAGGAAGCGAGCTCGGTCTAAAATTAGGGCCGTCTGCGGGGACTACAAAGTTACGCGCAAAGCTATTCGGGAGCTGACACGTTGAGATCCATCGGTCTTCATTGCTCTATTATTAGGTCGTTAAGACTCTCATCAAAGCGTCATTACCGTATCATCAGTCTGACAACAGAAGATCGTCAACTCATCAGACTGTCATCTTCAGGCCGTCATCAGGCCGTCATCAGGCCGTCATCAGACCGTCATCAGACCGTCATTAAACCGTCATCGGTCAGTTAGCGTAGCGGAGCGTCATTTGGGCCGTCATCTGCAATTACGATGTGCATTGCGGATCGGTACTTATATGGTTTACATATTTACACATTTATGAAATCGATTGAAATATGCATGAAAAACCTATTTTCCACGTGTATTTAATTAAGATCAAATTGTATGTCGCACACACACATAACAACTAAAATAAAAAGCCAAAAACGCTGTAAGTACATCGACCCACAAAACAAACAACACTTATTTTACTGAACACTATACTACGACCTGGAACCACCGATCTATTAGCATCTAATCACTGTGTTAGCATTATCTTTATCGGTCGATCTATGTTCAAACCTCATTTGTCGTCATAACGTCATCTGTCTTCTCAACATTCGTCTTCATCGCATTGCCCGTCTTTCACATAACAGTCGAACTCACCCGGCCTCGCCCGATTCACCGCCCCGTCATCCAGCCTCCATCCCTGGCGTCTCCATCCGTCGTCCGCGCCAGATCTGCCTCCGACGCGTCATTGTCTGTCACCATTTCGCGTCGCTCGTCCCCCGCTGACACGAGTAGGCATCGATCGCTGCGAGCGAGCCCGCCCTGCCTGACACCGTACGAGAGAGAGCGGGCCACGCGGTTGTGGAAGACTTGTCATGTCGTCAGAGATACACATCTTGCGGGAGATTGTAGACGAGTTCATTGGAAATCGGTGGCAAATGTGACGGATGCAGTCGTGATTGAAGGGAGAACTTCAAGCAGCTTCAACCACATATGAAATAGGTACATAAATTAATTGAGTGCCAATGTCGGGTAAATGGTCGCAAGTGATGCAGATGACATCAATTGAGTATCATTCCTTGTTCTAGAAAAGCTACAGGAACTAAACAATTCATCAAAGCTCCACTTACATCCACTACAGTTTTAATTTACGGGACGCCAGTCGGATACAATCAGCGTAAAGGTGGCCCAAAGTGGACCATCTAACACCGCACACCGTGCTCTCGACACGGCGCCAAACAAAGGCGCCTGGCGACTCACTGGCTCCCCATAACTCTCCCGCTCTTCTCATAACGGAGGAAATCTAAAGCGCTGTGTTGGCACACTGAGCGGAGCGCTCCCCTCAGCGCTCGCTCCCCTACCGACTCGCCCTGCCCCCGGTATGACTCACATGGGACAAACTTGCGCCGCGAGCCGGCCCGGGGCGCGAGAGATGGAGGTAACTTCGGTGTCCTGGTGACACGGAGAGGTGATGAACGCAGCTGCAGAGTGGAAAGCTCGGCAAAAGTGGTGAGCTGTAACGGGCAGTGAAGATGGCCCAAAGTACGCCAGCTTCCGGGAAATATAACCGTCTGATGCTTGGTGTGAGAGCTGAGAGAATTCGAGCCTTACGGCAACGTGTCGGCAATGCATATAAATATATAATAAAAGGTGAAATTCAGATCGTATTATTAATTAACTAAAATGAGCTAGACCTCATTAACCAATAGCCGATCAGCTTGCAAGGTTAGAGCACATCATTGAGCTCTGAATCACCAATTACCAAATGGACTGTAGTCGTCCACCACCAGTTTTAGATCAGCTCCTGTGACTCCAAATTGTGCGGGCACATATTTTGTTTCATTGGCTTCCCGCTTCATCTCACAGGTCGGTTTCTTTGTTTGGGGTTTATCACCCCATCTGCACATCGTCTGCGTTTTATCACACAGTTCTTCTCTCCCTTCCACACTTGCTGTTCAACAATGTGCTCACATTTCGCGAACTGCTCCAGTTTTCTCCCGCACCTCTCACATATCTCACATCATTCGCGTCCCTTTGGTCGTTGTCGTCCCCCGCCGCGAGTAACCCCACCTGTCTGTGACGACCCAGGTCTCTCCAGCCACCAACGGGCCGCCGAAATGACACCATTTTCACCGAGTCAGCGGGCGCCGGCTCCCCTTTGTCTGTCGAGGAATGACGGTCGATTAGGTGTCCGTCGGTCTCGGCAATCCCGGTGTCGCAGCGGGTCGTCGTTCGTCGAAACCGATGGTCGCTGGACGGCCCCGACGGTCCGCCTGTCGCTGGCGGTGACGGCCGACGGGCCGACGAGCCGAACTGATTCGCTGCCGCCGGCAGATCCGGCAGGCGAGGAGCCGATATCGTAAAAGCCGAGTGTCACTGTTTGTAGCGAGTGCTTATCTGTTTGTCTGTTTGCCTGTCTGCCTGTTACTGTTTGTATATTGTCTTTCTGTATGTCTATCATCTGTCCATCTGTCCGTCTGCATGTGCACCTGTCCGTATGTCCGTCTATCTATCTATCGTCTGTCTTCACGCCTGTCCAGTGTGTGTCTGGCGTCAATAGTTCGTCTCTCTGTCGTCTATCTATCTATCGGTCGTCCAGCCATCACCTCGCCTTCCGTCCATACTCCCCTCTCTACACCTGTCGATTCGACCGCTCACTAATCTCACCCCCTCTCCCTCTCTATCGTCAGGTATCTCGAGACAATATCCACCACTGGCGGACACCGAGCTCCGACCGGCTGGTCACATCCACCGGAAATCTGCGCATGACCGTACGTCAGCATCATTTCAAGGCGGGCATCATGCAGCTGATGTGTGTGGCCTCACTGGACGATGTCTACTGGAAGAGTGTGCACGTGGACCTGCCGCAGTGGGGAGAGCAGGCCCGCGGCGCGCGCAGCAACGGCCTCTTTGCTAACGGTGAGTGGTGGGCAGTGGTCTGGGGCGGCGGGCGGTGAGCGGTGGTCGGTGGTCGGTAGCCTAGGGCGGTTGGAGGGGAGTGGTGGTGGGTCCACCTTGCCTGCCTGGGGCGGCAGGCGGTGAGGGGTGGGAGATCTGATGCCCCGGGGGAGCCTGGTAATGGTGTGATGGGGTAGGGATGTGGAGAGGAGGGGTGGCAATGATGAGAGCCATGAGAGCCCGAGTTGTGCCCAAGGGAGGCTCTTAGGTAATCTGACGTACCACCTGGGGTAATGCTCACATTTCGGAAGGCGCATCCATTTCACAGCGTCGTCAAATTTGCATGCATTTTCGCGATATGTGCGACGGCTGACGCTTTCATGAATGTTTTATTTCGTGAAACCTTTCGAGCGGCTTTCTGTTTATCACTAGAGGGTAACATCTGCGCTGACACTTACACGACTCTTGCATTTACACTGGCACCAGTCTGGGACTGACATTGTCGCTTTGAGCATGCTGGGTGGGAAAAGAGAATTGCCACCGTCATTGTCACACGTTACCTGCAGCACCCGGACTTAATTCTCAATTTCGAGAACCGCGCAGTGAGCACCTACTCAGCTCAAAACGGTGATATGACAGGGACATTCAGGCTCGTGTTAATGTCACAGCGGAAACTTGGCGAGGCTCTTTGCTGGACCTTGATCTTTAGCTGCTATACGTTTGTCGACTAAGTCATGAATACATTAAATGTGATGACACTCTTTGGCGTCGGCGTTTAAGCAGCACGCCATGTGGCATTGACATGGAAGAACCTGTTCCTATTCATGTCTCCCTCGTTCATTCATATCTTCTGCCTGTAAAACACAGACAGGTGGTAATTGTAACATTGAATCTAGAGTTTAAGAACTGCCAGGTGCATTTAAGCAAATTCCAAACCTATCTCCATGCGCGAAACCATAAAAAGCACATTTGGGTGCCGTTACACGAGTCTGCATGTGAGCTGTGACACTGTGAGACCACTGTGAGAGCACTGTGAGAGCAATGTGAGGGCACTGTGATACTGGAGTGAGAAGGTTGGTCTCTCCGCTGCCGCTGCCGCCGGTCTGGCGACCGAACCATTAGTGAAATTAAACCGCGGCCCAATGCGCGGTGGCCACTGATGTGGGGGCATCGCTCAGTGGCCAGCGGCGGCTGGCGGCGATCTGTCGCAGAGTGACCGGCGCACGCTGCAGACAGACGAGGGTGACGCACTTTGTCCGCGGACGAGACGAACTCTGCAGATCCTGCGGATTGCCGCCGGGTGTAAATTTGAATACCAAAGCGGTGTCGCAGACTGGGAAAGTCATCTCACCTTAGCCCGGCTCAGTGCGCAAAGTAGTTTGGGGAAGAGTTGAGGGGCATTTTCAAACATTTGCGTGGGCTGAAATATGACGGAAATTATTTGTCGTCGAGCTATGTTATTAGTCAATTAGCAATCACCTTTCGTCGATTTAGCAAACCGTTGCTTTCATGATGGGTGAATCGAGCACCACGAGCATAATCGTACACATGGACAAAGTCCAAACGCACAAGTGAAGCTCAAACAAATGCCGTCAAGCTCAAACGAATTCCACCCGATCCTGCTGGAGCGTTGCTCGGCCACTGATGTTCAGCGGCACAGCATAACCTTTCAGGCACTGACTACTAGCGCCATCTATGGACAAGAATGCGAACCTACCGCTGCGCCCTGACTGAGAGCACAGTGCGCGACCTTCTGCGTTGTGCTGACTGTAAAAAATCTTCCTTGATTTCAGCCACTTGATCTATTGTTTTGCTAAGAAATGCATCGTCTCTGAATGAACAGTACGAATGAAATCAGTATAAAAAGACGTGTTCCATGAAACGTTTATTCCACTCTCGCCACATGCTATAGTATAATCTGTGAACAAGCCCTACCCGACTGACTGCATCTCTGACCCTTATCTCTGTTCTGTTTCAGGAGGAAGTCAGCCCTTATGTTTCTTGCCGTCCGTCTCGGCGCTGCTAGCAGTGTGCGCTGTATTTGTGCTCCGTTAATCGGACAGTTCCGTGCGGCACATGTCCTCGTTAATGTGGCAGTCCGCCGAGGTCAAAGTCGCGGGCTGCAGATCCTGAATGGAGCTCAATGCTTGATATTCTGGTCGTTTCTTGTGATAAGCCGAAGAGAAAAGAGTGTAACGCATGCGCTCAGTGTTCCAAGATGTGCAAATATACGTGTTTCTTATGTCTGCTTTGTGACAGCGTGGCACGGCGATCAGGGGCTTTGTCAAAACAGTTTAGACGCCGTTCTCTAAATGCCGGCTAAGTCGCGCGCTCTCTCGACGCAGTTTCATTTCCCTGTTTACAAATGTGTCGCCCGCTTTCGGCAACTTCTCATTTAGGCAGCGCCTAAATTTCAGCCGCTCTAACGTAATTTCACGGCAATGCAATCCAGGGGCCGGGAAACAAACAGGGACGGGAGGAGCCACGCGGATGCGGCTGAGGGGAGCGGAGCTGACGTCTGGGCCGCCCACCTGACTCTCTCTCTCCCCTCTCCTCTCCCTCTCTCCCCTCTCTCCCCTCTCCAACTCGTCAGCGCATCAGGTGATTGTGTTTGGAGCGGACCAGATTGGAGACGCCTCACAGTGTGACACCTCGTCAACGGACGGCGGGGGACGGCGCCGAATGACGACCAGTTGTGGCGAGTTGGGACGGCCGTCTGGAGACCAGACTCGTTAGACGGCGGACGGACACGCGGACAAAACAGAGCGAAATCACACGGAGTAACGAGAGCACGGTCACATGATGCACTGTAAAAAAAAGTTTAGCATTTGGGGTACTAACGGCTGCTATTCGTAGCACCTTTTAGCGTCAAAAGAACCCTACGACGTATTTACAAAGAAGCATGGTGCTAATACCGTGCTAATGATAGCTAACATTCCCATCAAATATTATAAGTTTAGATCACCTATTCTTCTACTGAGCTTAACGTCTACTTCTGCTAGTACCCAGGCCATCAGTGAGTGCTCTTTCAAGCTGGATTTCTAATTAGAACCATTTTAAGTGTTTTAGAAGTTGGTAATGCTGAATATGGTGCTTACGTTAGTATCACAATAGAACCGGACATGCTTACAGAGGAAACAAATTTGAAATTGGCGCCAAAGAAAGTAGCTAAGCCCTGCTTTACAAATCTCTGGGAGTCTTATCACCAGCCCTTTAGCACGTTTTGACGGCGCAGAGCGATATGCGCATGCGCGTGCCAGCTGTTTCCGGCCACGTGTTGCGCCATTTTAGTGGAGTCCGTTGGTCGTGGTGGGAGTGTGTGCACGTGCTCCGGTATATGAAGTGAAATGAAGTGAAGTGAAGTGCTCCGGGCACATGCCACCGAGTGATAGCTCTGGAATGATAGCTTAAATCAGCTATTATCGGTGGAATCCGTCGTGCGTGGCATGGGAGTGCGTGCCCCTGCTCCGGGAGGCAGTGAGGTGAAGGGAAGTGCAGTGCAGCAGTGCAGTGAAGTGAAGTGAAGTGAAGTGCTCCGGGGCCGGGTGGTACATGAGCATTTGCCACCGACACATGCCACCGACACCGACGGTGATCGACTTTGGTGAGTCTGACACGTTGTATCTTTTGACATTATCTTATATTGTTTAAGTGCTTCATATTCCAACTTTGGCAAATCGCGCTTCTTGGTCTGAAGGAAAGTTGTGTTGTTTGCGAAAATAGCTCCCAACAAAAAAAAAATCTTGGAACTGATCCAGTTTTATTTTTGCTCCAGGCATGGGGCCTGGTCAGTTCTTCCGTCGACTACCACTTACAATGGAGGACAACTACGACAACAACACGGGGTCTCCGGTTCTGTCTATCACTAAACGCCGTCTGGTCGTGGATGAGGTCGAACTTATGGCCATGAACGGAACGTCGGTTCAACGACCCCCCCCCCCCCCCCCCGCCTCCCCCAGTCGATCTCGCGTTAATCGTCGGTCACTGCGAGTGTGCAGGTATATGAGCGACCTTTCGTTATTTCCCGTGCGTTTGTTTGTGTATATATTTACATTTGTTTTTCATGCAGATGATATGAAGTGTTAATAAATGTTCCATTATTATTTTTTAATTTTATAATGTGTTGGATGCTTGAAAGATGCACTTACACGGGAATATTGCAGACTGCAAAACACAATCATTGAGACTTGTAGTTATCACTTATCTAGGATATAACCTTTTTTGCACGTCTTTTCGGCCTTACACAATTTCCTTTTTGGTAATTGATTAGTCCTTTTTGCAGTAACTAGTGAAAGTATGTGCTGCTAAAGAAAGCAGTTTTTGCGAACTTTTCATGCAGCAGCTTTAACTAGTATAGATATTCTACTTTCAGCCCCAATGCTTTCGTTAGCATTATTCTACTTGTCGTGGGGTAACAACAGCGCTAAAACGGTTCATATGTGAGTACGGAAGGTACTAACTGCATGCTATTCTTAGCACCTTTTAAAGTTTAGCACCGCTAGGGTACTGAAAATTGGTCTAGCAGGTGTAGGGTACTACATTTAGTACACGGGTGCTAAACAAATATGGGTACTTATATTAGCATCTTGATACTAAACTAGATCTCAGTTAAGTACGAATAAAATGCTTAGCTTAGCACCGCTAGGGTACTGAAAATTAGTCAATTGAAAAGTACCTCTATGGTGCTAAACTTTTTTTTACAGTGTGGGTGAGCTCAGGTCTTTAGCTGTTGGTCTTTCGTCAGGTCTTTAGCCTTGACCCAAATAACAAAGCCTTAGTGGTAACAGGATGACTGATATACTAACAGTACAGACATGCAACGTGCTAGTAACATTTTTATGCGTAAATAGTTAGATGGTGCCTCTAACAACACGTTCAAATTGTATTCACCATGGTGGGGGTATTTTATCATCACAACGACCTCTATGAAAAGATACACGCGAGACACTGTTTACCTGCTTAGCTGACTACCGAAACTTTCACGCCTCGATAGCGTTTTCCAGCCACCGGTAAAATATCACCCACCGGTTGTTGACTCAAAGTTTCTTCCCATTCAGCCGTCAATGTCACCCGACGCTGCTAATCTGAGCTACACTCCAAGTACGGTGCCAAGTTCCACGTTAAATAACCCACCCATCAAGGCTCTGGCACCCCTCCCCTCAGGATGTGTGGGTTGGGGGTGGAGGGAACGGTGAGGGACAAATTCATCACTGGAAGCACACCGCCCGCAGGCACGTTCAACAGCATGCTCAACGGTAGCGTCTATGTATGTACATACATCCAAGGTAGCAGGACATCGGAGTACGCGGAGACTCGAGCAGCGATTTCAGAGAACTATTGGTGGAGGCCAACAGGGTTATGTTGCATACTGAACGATTGAGCGAGAGAGAGAGAGAGAGAGAGAGAGAGAGAGAGAGAGAGAGAGAGAGAGAGAGAGAGAGAGAGAGAGAGAGAGAGAGAGAGAGAGAGAGAGAGAGAGAGAGAGCGAGAGAGAGAGAAGCAGCGTCTTGTAGTTGCAAGTACACCCAGATATATTTTAAAATAAAAGGCTACATATCTGGAACGATTCATAACTAGGCTCGTCCAGAATGCCGAGTCATTTTTCTCCCGGTAGAACCCCTCAGGAGCGTCAACTCTCTGCCCAGTCTGCTCACGTCTCCGCCATTCCAGCGAATATTAGGGAAGCCGGTAAAATCGGATTATGCAGAATCTAAGCAAGCAGCCCAAATGATGGTCTAATAGGAACTGGATGGACTTGAGTTTCTTACCAGCAGTGCTGGTGTAAGCTACATACACTTTATGGCTGCCTAGATAGGTGTGTTGATCTGATGTTCTTTGGTGAAGTGATCAAATCTTTAAACGTAACGTCACTTATTTTTACGTCAACCGAAAGATTAAAAACGTAATGGAATCCAAAGTAAAAGTATCTAGCCTTGCATTGAATACTTCCGCAGAAGATAACTCGTATTTTAAAGCCGTATTTGGTAAGTACTAGGTACATACTTATGTAAGTCTGCAGGTTGATCTGTAAAGACATCACTGTATATGCTCCAACTCTACAGTCGGAAAACATTTCATTTCAGGTGGTCGGTGAATATTCATCTTCCTTTCGTCTCGATCATTAATATTCATTGTGTTTGTGCGCAGATGGCCGAACGAAGACAGAGAGTGCTGTCCGCCTTTTGAAACGATCGGGTTATTCGCTACCTGCCGACATGGTATCTGATAACCATTGATCCTCATCTGATACGGGACAGCTCGCCCACGGTTTTGGGTCGATCGGTTTGAGATATTGGTTTCGCACGGCATCTTTATTTAGATTAATACGACTATCAAATTTCAACAGTCTATGAAATACACTAGCAAAAGAACATAAGCTGCAAAAAGATTTCTAGAGAAAGTATGCAATCACCACAACAATGCACATTGTGCTGAGCTCACAAACATCACTGGCGAGGGCCATGGGTTCGCTGTATAGCGAACGTTTACTTTAAAGGTCAGACCGAACAGTCGATTTAAAAGCAATTCCGGCTGGATTCCAAGTGAAGTATCATTTACGTTGACGATGCTATCATCTGAAATAGACGGAATACGTAGAGACGCACGCTTTCCGTCCGTGCTCGTGTTTCATTGCCGGTTGCGATCGCATGGAAACGTCGGCGATCGGTGTGTATTTTGGTACAAATATAGACAGTATGGAGGCCAGCTGAAATGACTTTTCACCGATCCATCATGTGTTTCAGAGATACCTGTTACAGTTGGTAACGTATGAATGGCACAACGTGTAAAAAATGCACAGCATGCCGTGGACAATCCATGCCTACTGCCTAGTTTTCAAAAATGTACTTGAACCACAATAACCAATTCCATTCATGACTTACTATTGCCCATCATTGCATTAGAGGCTGAAGTTTAAATGACCAGTCTATGCTTTGTCAAAGGCCGCATGATTATGCTATAAGCATTACATGCCTGCTGTGAAAATTATCTGTAATGGACCTTAGTGCCCATATGGCTCTAAAAATCGCATCATTACTTCTACTCCCTGTTTTGAATAAGACATTCAAAGTGCAAAAAGCCTTTCCTGAAAGTTAAACACCGCGACACATTCATTTCAGCAGCAGGAAGCATCTCCCTTAGTAACTCCCATTGAGCACGGTCACAGTCCTAAATCCGGCAACTTTCAAAGCCGCACCGTTGCCGGTATTCTAGCGCAGCTCCAGTGCAGAGATCAAAGCCCCTC